ATCGGTACCCCCCCCAAACCATACCGGGACCTCGAATTACAGCGACACCACCCCCTATACTGTAAAGGGACCCCGAAACGTATAGGGACCCCCAAAATTGTACAGGGACCCCAAACCGCCGAGGGACCTCAGAACGCAGGGGGACGCCCCCAAACCCTGTACAGGGACCTCGAATTACAGGGACACCCCCCTATACTGTAAAGGGACCCCGAACCACACAGTGACACCTCCCCCAACTGCATAGAGACCCCCCCAAAAGTGTACAGTGATGCCCCCAAACCCCACGGGGATCCCCAATCGCACAGGGACCCCCTAAACTGCACAGGGACCCCCTCAAACCATATGGGGATTCCAAACCATATGGGGACACACCGAAATTGTACAGCGACGCTCAAACCACACAAAGACCCCCTCAAACTGCACAGGGACCCCAGACTGCACAGGGACACCCCAAACTGTATAGAAACACACACACACACCCCCAAACCCGTGTAGGACTCCCTGAAATCATATAGAGACCCTCCTGCACCCGTATAGAAATCCCCCTCCATGTGTATAGGGACCCCTCCTGCAGCTGTATAGGGACCCGCTGCACCTAAATAGGGACCCCCACCCAGCCATACAGGTTGTCCCCCTCATAAGAACCCCCTCTCCACCCATGCAGGGACCCCTGATGTATAGGGACCCCTGCACCCACTCCGGCATTCCTCTGCGTCTATATAGGGCAACTTGCACAGGGACCCCAGCACCCATATAGAGACTCCCTCCATCTGCATAGGAACCCTTGCATCTATATAGGGACCTCACAACCTGTATAGGGACCCCAGCATCCATATAGGTACCTCCGTATCCATATAGAGACTCTCTGAACCCATATAGGGACTCTCTCCATCCATATAGGGACCCCTACACCTACCTAGGGACCGTAGGCTGGGGCCGCAGCACCTATGTAGGGCCCCTTCCATATATACGGAGACCCTCTGCATCCATATTGGGGTCCTTGCACCCACATGGGGACCCCAGGCTGGGACCTCCACATCCATATGAACACCCTGTGCCCTATACTGGGACCCTGAGTTGGGACCCCCTGCACTCACATGGGGACCTCGCAGAGGCAACCTCACTCCGGCAACCTCACACCGGGCTGAATCCTGACTCACTGTGTGTCTGGGACTGACCCTTCCCCACCCCAAAGCTTGGGGACACCCCCCCGGGGCAGGGGGGAGACTCTCAGCCTCTTCCTTCCCCTGAGGCTGCAGTGGGGCTGCACTGGGTTGCACTGGGTGGGTACTGGGCTGGTACTGACATCTTCTGGGCTGGTGCTGGACTGCACCGGGCTGTACTGGGATGCACTGGGCTGCATTGGGATACACTGGAGTGTACTGGGCCAGCACCGGGCTGTGCCTCCAGGCCAAGGCTCTTGCTGGAGGCACCCCCTCCTTCCCCTGCTCCCATGGGGTGCCTGAAACCCCCCACCCAGCTCTCCCAGCACCCCACCCAGCAGCCCCCCACCCCAGCTGGGTCCCCGGGGGAACAACCACTGTAGGGAGGTTTTGGGGTGCCAACATGCCCTCAGTGCTGGGTGCTGGGGCCGTTGCTGCAGGGGTCTTGGGTGCTCGCTGCAGTGGGTTGGGGTCCTTGTTGGGGGACCCAGGAGCTTGAGGGGAGACAGGGAAAGCTCACAGGCAGGACCTGTCACACATGCACCTATTTCTGTGCAGGCACCCACGCACAAGCACCCAGGAGCGCAACCCCCACCCCTGCACGGCTCTGGGGGCAGAGTCGGGGCAGAGCTGGTTTCCCCCACTTGGAGCCGCTGGTCCCCCACCCCACCGGGGCTGGCCAGGGAACAGGAAGGGGGCTCTTTGTCCCTTTCCTGTTCCCTCTTCCTTGAAGAAGAGCTCTTCGCACCCGCACCTTGCCACACTGCATTTGGCACGGGCCAGTTCACACTCACCTCCCTGGATCTGCAGCTTTGGGGCACTCTTAGCACACTCCTGGCATCCTCCTGTGACCCCTGCCTGCCCCTTGCACTCCCCTGCACCCTCCTGTATCACAACTGCATCCCTCCTGTATCCCTCCTGTACTCCCAAGCATCCCTCCTGTATCTCTCATGCATCCCACCTATATCCCTCATGCATCCCTCTACATCTTTCCTGTATCCCTCTGCATCCCTCTGCATCACATCTGCATCCTTTTTTCATCCTTCTTATATCCTTCTTGCATCCTTCCTATGTCCCTCCTGGATCTCTGCACCCCCCTGTGTCACGCCTGCACCCCCCTGCATCCCTCCCCTATCACACCTACACCCCTCTGCAACCCCCTGCATCTCCCTATATCTCTCCTGCAGCCCTCCCCTGCAGCCCCCATCTCCCTCCTGCCTCTGCAGGTCCCCTCTTCCCCGTAGCTGTCCCAGTGCCTGGAGCACCTTCTGGACAGCGGGGTGCAGCTCAGCACCTTCCCCCCCCAGCTTGGAGATGCCCAGGGTGAAGGAGAGAAGGGGCAGAGGTGGCAAAGGGGGTGATGGAGGAAAAGGCTCCTGCCTTTGCCTGCAGCAGGCTGTTGTTGTCGGGTTGTGCTGGGTTGCGAGAGAAACAGGGTTGTTCGCCCCTCACTGCTGTTATAGGGCTGTGAGAGCAGTGGGTTGTATCCCCCGGAGCTGTCATTGTAGGGCTGCACGAGCGCCATGCTGTGTACCGGACCTGTTGTTGTGGGGCTGTACTGTGCTGCATGCTTGACCTGTTGTCGTCGGGCTGTACCCCGAGCTGACATTGTAGGGTTCTGGCAGGATCCGGCCTCAGTTCAAGCCGTTCCCCTGGAGCTCCCACGAAGGCTTCGCCGCTGCTGCTGCCGCGACCCCACCGGCACCTCTGGCTGCATCTCGGGTTGCCTGACTGTCCCCGTCCCCTGCCGAGCTTGGGGTGCCCCGCAGGGTGACAGGGACCGAAGCAGCCCACCGGGCTTTGCTGGGTTTGCCCCAAAAGTGCTTGGAGCACAGCAGCGTTCTCCCACCCACCACCAGCTCCAAGCCCTGGGAGCCTGGGGGGTGAGTGTGGGGCTGCAGCACCCACGGGACCTCCCACCCTTAGGTGCTGCTGTGCCTCGACCCCCAAAACTTCTCAGAGGCTGCAGAGAATGTGTGTGGTGTGTGTGCGTGGTGTGTAAGGGCACGGAGGTGCCTGGGTGGTGTGTATGTGTGGCTGGTGGGTATATATATGGGGGTGTGTCTGCATGGGGGGTATCTACATGGAGGAGGTGTGCATGGGGGGGGGGTGCATG